GATGCTATTTATTTCTTATTTTTTATTTTTTTCTCATTGAGTTTATTGGTACTTTTTAGGTATACAGTACAGTTACATTCATCATTGGGATCTTGTACCTTCACATGAAAGATCTTGGTTGTCATTTTTCCCCCATACCCCTGCCCTCCCTTCATCCCCTCCTCCCTTTCCTATTTACAAAAACTTTATTTCCATTTTTGTTTTCTCAGATTTTTTTCTTTTCCCTTATTTCCTTTTCCCTACCCTTCCTACTTCCCCTACACCTTTAGCCCTTTTCTTCCTATTTCATATTGTCAATTATACCATTAAGATCTTATTTATAATTACAGTTTTTCACACTAGAGAAACTGTTTGGTATTTACATGTGTAGTTTATTTATTTGACTTAAGAGTATGACTTCAATATGCATCCATTTTCCTATGAATGACTCTAATTTCTCATTCTTTATGGTTGAGTAGTATTCCATTTTATAGAAAAATCATTCTTGATATAAACCATAATATTCTCCCCTTGTTCCCCAAAAGACCTGCATGCATCTCTCTATAGAAAATGCATATCTAAGAGTCACTGTAGTTTTAATATTCCAGCATTGCTGAAAAGTACAAGTCTAATGTCTCCCATGTGACTCAAGGTAAACCCTTAAATGTAAGCCCCTGTAAACAACATTTTTTTAAATTAAACACTTCCAACGTACAAGGGAACAAGCTAAGCATTCTCAAAGGGAGTAATAACAGAAAAGAATATAACCAAAACAAGACCAAAACCCATTTGGGCAAGCATTACATCCTGTAGCTCTGTACCAAGCAACCAGGGTAAGGTGTGGCAAGATATGAGTTTAAAACGGCTTGGGTGGCTGCATTCCTGTAACATTGCCAGTTGCAGTCCTCATGGTTTTTCTTGAGGATGTTTTCCCCCTCCTTGTAGTTGTTTTTCTCAGCAGACGTTCTATGTTCCTGGCATCTCCAACTTCCTGTGGCCTCTACCATACTTTTGGCTTCACTCTCACAGCTTCCTCCACTGCCCTTTCAGAGGCATTCTGTCTGTCTCCCAGCTTCCGCAAATATGGAGAGAAGGCTCTCTGACCCCACAATTCTGACATTCTTCAAGCCTGTAAAACCAGCACCACATGGATGATGCCAAGGCTTATGCCAGTTCAAGCAATAGTTAAGCCCTTTGCATCCTTGCTGCATGCAGCCTTGAGTAAGCAGGGTTTCCTCAGGCTCTCTGATCTAAGTAGTTTTTCACTTTTGCACCTTTAAGCCAGCAAAAGGTGAGATGTTATGGATTCCTGAGATGCCTTCAAGTCAGCTTTCCTATTGTCCCGAAGAAAAGTACTTAGCTTCTTTATAATGCCAATATTTTCTTTTCAGCAATCATGCTGTCCATGGCCCCAACTTTGCAAGTGACTCCTTTCTGGCAAAAGTGGAAAGTTTCTATATCTTTTCCCCCTATCTTTTGTTCCTGATTCTCAATGTAGATCTGGCTGAAAGCTACTAGCAGTACCAAAGCCACAGCTCAAGGCTGGTTCCCACTTCTCTCATACTAAAATCTGTCCCAGTCACTTTCCTTGATACTGGGACATAATACTTGACACCCACAACTTAAAGGAGGAGAGGTGAGCTGGGAGTATAGCTTCATGGTAGCATGTTAGTCTATCATTCATGAAGCCCTGGGTTCAATCCCAGCAACACGTAAAAAAGTGCTTTTAGTCCATGGTGAGTAGGCTATAAGGGAGAATGGAAGGTTACAAGGGTATGGCAAGAGGAAAGCTGCTCATCTCATGGTAGCCAGGAAGCAGGAGAGAAGGAAGAAGCCAAAGAGGGAAACTCACCCTTTTAGGTTATGCCCCCAGGGACCTGCCCTCAAAAAGGGCCATACCTCCTCGCACACTCAGCCACCAACCTCAACAGCGGATGAATTATCTGATAAGTATGGGACCCCCATGATCCAGTCATCTTCCAAAATATCTGTACATGAGAGTTTTATATGACATTCTAAATATAAGCCATACAGCTAGAAAAAAAAAGAAGTATTCAAAAATTAAAAGGATGGAGAAATGTCAAAGTCATACAGGAGCTAACCTGAAGATTTCAACAGCCAAAGCTGAAACAATCCAAAGAACAAATAAATAATACAGTATTAGATTATAATCAGAAGTATTAAGTGAGCATCAAGACCATACTGATATAAAAATCTAAATAAATAGGATAGATTTCCTATTCCAAAGAATTACAAATAATTTATATAAAATATATTCTGTTCTATAGGTTAGTCAGCTTTGTATTACTATAACAAATACCTAAGATAATCACTTTATGAAGAGAAAGGTTTTATTTGGTTCACAGTGTTTCAGTCCATCATCACTTGGCCCAATAATTTTGGACCTGGCCTACGATAAGACTGTACGTCACAGTGGAAGTACCTGGTAGAAAATCATTTAGAGTGATATCTCTGCTCACAAATTTAATTTATTCTATGATTTTGGAAAAGATGGCCAAGTTTGTATTTCTTTAAGAAAAATGGTTGTGATCATGTTTGTCACCTAGTGCAGAGTCTGCAAACAAAAACAAAATTTTGCCAAGCACTTCTGTTTGCAAACCAAATTGTACTTTGTGGCCAGGAAACAACTGAGAGCAAGATGAAGGAGTCAGAGTACCACCATCCTCTTCAAGGGCATGTCCCCAAATGACTTCTACCTCTTGAAGGATCCATCACCTCCCATAATGACACCACTCTGGGGCTAAAGCTTTTCATGTGGACCTTTGTGAGAAAGATCCAAATTATAGTAGAGGTAGACCTCAAAAAACTCCTACCCATATTCTTGAGTATGGACTGCACTCACCAATTCGCTTATAAGAAGTAGAGCGTGAAAAATGAAACAGAAATACTTTTACGGTGGAGAAACATGGAGCACTGACCTTGGCCAAGTTAGTATTGTGGCAAATCACAATGATGGAACTACAAATATACCAGACACAGTAAAATAATCATGCAAAAAAGACAAAATCTTAATAAAAAAGAAAAAAAATCCAGGTGCTACAGTTTGAATGTTTTCCCCCTCCAAAATTCATACTGAAATGTCACACTACTGAGATATAGGACTTCTAGGAGTGATGAGGCCATGAGAGCTATTACCTTTTCACTGCCTTTTTTTTTGGTCCTTCTCCCTTCCTCCATTTAATCATGTACATATTAGTAAGGCCTTTAGTTCTTGGACTTACTAGCCTCCAGAACCAAATAACCAACAAATTTCTGGTCATTACAAATCACCCAGTCACATCCAGACATGGTGTTGTAGGCCTGTAACTCCAGTTACTAGGGAGCCTGAGGTTGGAGGATTCCAAGTTTGAGGCCAACCTAGCAATTTAAACTAAATAAAAGGAAAAGAGAATTTGGTGGCACAGTGCTTGCCTAGCATGTGAAAGGCTCTGGGTTTAATTCTCAAAATGGCAAACACACACCTTAGTTTCAGTTACTCTGTTACAGCCACAGAGACAGATTTAAAATGAAATGAAGAAAACTCTCCATTAGTGGATTGCATTTTAGAAGAGTACATAAAGAACATAAATTCAATGAAATAAAATTCACAGCAAAGACGCTAAAACAAAAGAATACAAAGGGAAAAATCTATTTAAAAATAAAATTCAGCCACGGAGAGATTCCACAAAATAAAAAATCTGGGCATAAAAATACTATCTATGATCAAAGTTCCAGTAATTTAATTCTTTTTGATATAAAAGTATGATTAAACAACAGAGGGCACTTTGTCTATAGAAACTAATTTTACAAGTGTATTTGAAGTAATATTAATTTTCCAAAATATTTTAAAGTCTTTATTTCATATGTTAGTCAAATGACACTACTTACTTAAAATACTGCATGAGAAAATTTTGATAACTTTTAATACTGTGACATTTCTCAGTTTCTTACCCTGACATTAGAAGGGTCTTCTGGGAATTAGTATTTCTTATTGAGAGAAAATATTTCATGATTCGAGATTTTCTTTAGTTTTAACTATTACTGAAATTAAAGTAACACAAGCACTCGCAGGGAGCATGTGGAAGAGGAAGCTGTCCATGTTAAGGTGACTGGGAAGGGTCTGGGAGGGGAGAACACATGTGCCTTTGGCAGACAATCAAGATCCAAACTACAGAACAATCCAAAGAAAGAAAAGCAAGGATGGAGAGAAGGGAGAAGAGAAGAGAAAGCAGGAGAACACGGGGCTGGGGGAGCCTGTCATCTGCAGTAAAATAGATGGCACTGGAAGACATTATGTAAAGTGGAATAAGACAGGCATTAAAAGACAAATGCTTCGTATTCTTATTCATATGAGGAGGCTAAAAAAATTGATATCAAACAAGAGAACACAAGGGTGATTACCAAAGTTTAGGAAGGTCAGTGGGGATAAAACAATTTGGATAACAGGTACTAAATACTGAAATAAGTTCTAGTGTTCTGTAAACAGGAACAGAGACATTAAGCAAAAAGCAGTGAAAGGACCCAAATGCCTGAAATAAGTCAACCAACTGATTATGAGAGATGATAAGAGAAAAGTCACATCACAAGGTAAGGTAAGGACACCTATGATGGAGATATAAATATGAAGAAGTAACTGTATTAAAAGGGATGCTGCTCCCTCCCTTCTCCTTTCCTTCCTTCTCTTCCCCTTCTGCTCTCTTCTCCTTTCCTTTCCTTTTAAATTGACTATTATGCCTGGCAGGTAAATTCCTAGCATGCCAAAGGTTTTTAGACAAAAGTTGTGGGGATATGCAAAAAAAAAAAAAAAAATGAGAATCAAGACTTGCCATGTAAAGGTACATGATCCCAACAATGAATGTAACTGTACTGTATCCCTAAATGTACCAATAAACTCAATTAAAAAAAAAAAATTTTCTAACACAACAAACAAGAATCAATATACTTTTGAATATGTAATCACAAAATGCATACATCTTATGCATGCTCCCAATATCATACTTTTACATTAATTGTGTACATACATTTTTAGAGACATTTCCATACGCTTGGCTTGTGCAATTGCTTCATCGCGCTCTTCAATGGCTAACTGCAGTCTAGACATAACAGCTTCATCACGTTCCCTCTGTGCAAAATACACTTCTTCGACTAGAGCTAGCAAAATAGATAACCCATTATCAATCAAGGAAAATAAAGGAGAAATATATACATGTGTTAAAAATTTTTAAAAAAAGTTATTTTAAGGGACATTTATTCAATTGAATTAGTATAACTTAATTACTTCATAAAACATTAGTTTTAATAGCTACTGCAAAATTGAGATACAAATTCACCCACTTCAAAATTACACAAGTGAAAAGTCTAAGAACAAAAGTGAGTTTTTTAAGTAAAGAAAATTCATAAACACAGCAGATAATGCATAAACACTTTTACAACCACATGAGCAATCTGGCAAGATTTACTAAAGTTAAATATGTCCTTATTCAGTAACCTAGCAAATCCATTTCTAGTTATGCAATCTATAGAAATTCTTGTACGTGTGCAAATGGAAAATATATAAAAATACTTACTGTAACATCGCTTATACTAATACAAATTTACTAATAACCCAAATGTCCATCAACATGAGCAAGAACAAACTGCTATACATTCAGAATGGGACACTCCCTACCATTTAAAATGAATTAACTATGAACAGATGAACAAACCTCAAAAATAAAATGCTGGCAAAAATAGCAAGTTAACAAAATAAAACAACTGCATCTACTATTTATACAAAGATGCAACTAGTGAATATCATAAAACAAGCATGACAACAATAAACACCAAATGTAGGATGGGCATGACCTCAGTGGGATCTCTTAAGGGGAAAGGAAAAGGATCACAAAGAATAAAAGGGGCAGAGCTGTGCTGGACAGTGCTGCACATCTGCAGTGAACAGGTGGATACAATACAAACGGCATCAGTTAGATTTGTACACTCCGTGGGGAGATTTGATGTCATCTAAAATGGTCTTTTTTTTTTTCTTTTTTTTTTTTTTAGTACCAGGGATCAAACTCTGTGCCTGTGAGGCAAGCAGCAGAACCACTGAGCTAAATCCCCAGCTCAGTCATTTCTTAAGCATAATTTCAACTGTTAGTGTACACGAGACCTTAATTTTTAAAACGTCACTATAATGTCAAAGAGATTAAATACCAGATCACTGAAACAAATATTATTTATAATGTCAAACAACAAAATATACATAGAAAAAAGGGTCTTTTAGTTTATATAATATTGAGTTTATGTTCAAGGTTTGTTATAAATTAATAATCAAGATAGTTATTGCTGAATTACTTAAACTGTAAGTTGTAGAAGAGACAAATCCTGATATAGGTACTGTATAGTATTTTCATGATTGTGTGCATATCTATAAAACGTGATGTGCAGTGGCAAAGCAAAAGCCAAAACTACTTCCATGAAACTATGCCTGAAGAAAAAAAAAGTATATCTAGCTTTTTGCATTTATTCTTCACAAAACATTTAGCAAACGTCTATTCATCCATCTAGTCTTAAGGGTTATGTGTATAATATTCTGGTAAATCCATAACATACTGGAACATACATTGTTCACTACAGGGAGACAAATGGTACAGAGAAAGACGGGCAGAAAATGCAAAAGGTAGGAAAGTGGGTGAGCTCAGTAATAAAGGCACTGAAAAAGGAGGCTGCATGAGAGTGATTTTGCAGATAAGAAATAGGGCAGGTTATTTGGGAAGAGTATTCCTTTTTAAATGTGACATTTTAGAACATTAAAATACAGGAAGAGGAGATGTGTATTTATGCTCACATAACATACACGTGCAGGCATATATGCAGGTTCCTTCTTTCTCAATAGATAGTGAAAATATGCTAAGCCAGAGAACAAATAGTGTGGGATTTTGGGTGCTTTTGAGAAAAAACAGCCATGCCAATGTGGCTGGAGTAGACTGAGGGAGAGAGTTCTGGGAGCTAATCCCGGGCCTCATAAGCCATAGTAAAGATTTTAGACATCCTTTAAGCATAATGACAGGCATTAGAAGGTTCTGAATGAGGAAATGAGAGGGTTATATGTTTGAAATGGAATATTCTGCCTCCTAGTTGAGAAAAAGTTGGGCAAGAGTGGAAACAAAATGGCTGTATCAGTCATCTAAGAATTCACTTCAATAACTCCCATAATGGAACATTTAATCGCCTAGAAATAAATACAAATGCTAACCTTGAATTTGGATATCATATTAAAAGATTTTCAGTACAGGAACAATTCAATCTGATCTGTGTTTTAAAGAGACACATCCAAATGTTAGAATACTGATTGTATGTGAAAGACTGGTGTGGGGGGAGAAAAGTTGCAGGTTGGATTGTATATGCTTCTTAATTACATAACACATCAGTCCAGATGAAAAATAATATAATTTTGAACCAATGCAATGGCAACAGAAATGAAAAAAAGAAATGGGTTCCGTTCATAAGAGTAAGACAATCGAACCTAAGAGTTAGGCATTTACTAAAATAGAGAGCAAAAAATACAGCTGAATTTACTAAGCCACTCCTCAATTTTTTCAGTAGTACAATCTATAAAATGTGGAGGTTAAAATGATAATTGCTCTCTACTGACACACTGACTTTGAAGCCAAAAAAAAAGATTTCTCCTGGCATTCAAGGAAAACATTATCTAGAGCCCAGTTCTAGTTCTGTGTAAGGTACAGTAAACACACTACTTTCTCTCCCGAGGAAGGCAATTGTACAGAATGTATGGAATGCACGACACAGCTGTTCAATCGATAACATCAGAATTCAAACCACTACTGAAATGGCCATGAGACTGCCATTTTATTTTACTTTTGGGGTACCCAGCCTGAATTCAATGTGACCCATCTGTCTTAGTCATTTTCTTGTTGCTAGGTTACAGTTCATGGCCAGCCAGCTCCAGAGCAGAATGGCATGGCAGTGGGGCATAGCAGAGGAAAAACAGTGCACTTTACCATATCCAGGAAGTAGAAAGAAGTAAGGGTGGAGCCAACGAGTCAGACAAACCTTGCCAGGTTAGGTCACAGTGACCCACCTAATGTGACCAGACCCTACCTCCTAACTTCAAGCCAGCTGTAGTGCTACCGAAGTCCAATCACCTTCCACAAGCCCCACCTCTGAGTGCATGAGGCTTTGGGGGACTATTTATAAACCATAACAAGCACCAACTACAGCAGAGAACACTGTGGTACATACAAAGGTATAAGAGTAGTTTTCTATCTGGTTGGAGAAAACTCCAAAGAGCTTAGAAACACGGGAAATCTGTTGTTTATTTAACTGTATTTCTAAATGTTTAACTTCACAGGCAACCTCACAAGGAAGGCATTAGTAGCAGAAAAACTGCTGGCAAGAAGAAAGTATAGTAGCTAAAACTGTAAGGGAAGAAAACCTTACTTCCCTCTCCATTTGGTGAACCCCGAGGAAAATGGCAAACCTTGTTTTTCTCTTGGCTCCTCACACTACGAATTAATAGCAAAAGTCAGAGGTTCATACCCAGAGGATCAAAAAGAAAAAACCACAAAAATCCAGAAATCAAAGGAGAAATGGTAGAGAGCAAGGATCTTAAGAAAGCAACACCAAGTCAGGCCACAGTGACCCGCCTCTTGTGACCAGAGCTATCTGTAAACCTAAGCAGTACATGAATGAATCTAATTCTTATTAGCATGCGAAAGGCCTTGAGACGTAAATTTAAGAAAAAATTCCACCCAATTCTAGACAGACTACTACCAGGGCACAGAAAAGGTATATTAGGACTGATATTGGAAGCATAGCTCACAGAAGGTGAGTGGGCTGAACCTAACAGGGTAAACTGTGTGCTAAAACATCAATAGAATGTAAATAAGAACCAGAATCTCTTAATATGCAAAATGTCCAAGATAAAATAAAAAATTATCTGAAATAGAAAAACAAGCAACAAAAATAAAAATGAAAATAATTCCCTCTCTAAATCTCAACTTGCATGAGAAAAGAGTTGCTAAATGGCAAAGGAGTCACAATTACCTGAAAACGAATTTAAGATGGCTATTATAAAAATGCAGTAAGAACCGGGATTTAGCTCAGTGGTTCCACTGCCTGCCTTGCAAGCACAAGGACCTGAGTTCAATTGCTGGTACAAAAAAAAAAGAACATCACTTGTAAAACATTCTAGAAGCAAAAGTTAAAATCAAACACAAAGAAACATGTTATAAAAAGAAAACAAATTTTAGAACTAGAAAAAAAAATCACAATAAAAAACATATTGGATAACCTAAATAGAAGAATGGAAACAGAAAAAGCCAATGAACTTGAAGTATATCAATAGAAATTGAATCACTGAGGAAAAATGACCAAAAAATGAGCAGAGTGTCCAAACTGTATGACAAGAAAGGTTATACACTCTCAGAAATAGAGGAGTATAGGGCCGGGGATTTAGCTCAGCGGTTTGGTGGCCTGCCTTGCAAGCGCAAAGATCCGAGTTCAATCCCCGGTACCAAAACAAAACAAAACAAAAAAAGAAATAGAGGAGTATAGTGGTTAAAAGAAAAAAAATTGAAATAAGGGCTCAAGAAATTCCCAAGTTGCAAAAGACATAAACCCACAGATAAAAGCACCTAATCTAGCGGGGCGTGGTGGTGCATGCCTGTAATCCCAGTACTCTGGAGGGGAGGCTGAGACAGGAGGATCGCTGTGAGTTTGAGATCAGTTTGGGCTACACAGTGAGTTCCAGGTCAGTCTCAACTACATACTGAGACCCTGTCTGAACCACCCCCCAGCACCGAATCTAAGTAAGATTAATCCAAAAATCCACTCAGACATAAAATAAGACAAAGGATAAATCTTGGAAGCAGCAGGGAGGCACTATTTATGACAACAATAATTCAAATAGTTACTGATTCCCCATAGAATCCATGAAAGCCAGAGAGAAATGGGAAAACATTTTTAAGGAACATAAACAACTGTTACACCAGAATTCTACATATTGTAAAAACATGCACCAGGAAGGAAGGAAGGAAGGAAGGAAATACTTGAAGGAAAAGTAGGAGAATCCATAGACAGCAGGTCTATCCAAAAAGAATTGGTAAAGGTTCTTCAGAAAGGCAAATAATAACAGAAGGAAAATCTTAACT